CAGTCTTTTCGGGTGAAGCAGAGGAGGCTGGGCCTCGACAGGATTTCTCAAATCAGGATTTGGATTTTACAGGAGAAATCAGACACCTCTTCTGCACACATTTCTGTCTTGTACAATTTAACAACAACAGCAACAACACCACCAGAAGCCAGCACCATATTTGCTAGGAAACAAATCTAACTGATTTCAGTAAGAAGTAAAGGAAGCATAGAAACCTAACAACCTATTGGATCAGATCCAGCCAAAGTTTGATTTCAATAGGGGTGAAAAACCATTCATAGCTTGAAATCAAGGGACGGAACAACCTGACCCTATGCATACTTACTCGGGAGTAAGATGCTAAATCACTTGCATATTAACTCCTAAGTCAGGGTGCATGCAGTTTCAGAACTCATTGCGCTTGGTTGGCTTCTGCCTGTTTGCTTGGGAGTAAATCCCATTGAAAGTATTTTCGACTCAGGCTGAATCAGAGGTCCATAATTTTGGCAGTAAATTTGATTGAGCACAGTGGGACCTCTGAAGTAAACGTGCATAGGATCGGACTACAAGGGGAGGCTGGATTCTAGACGCTTTTTGGGTGGGGGAGCTGGGGGAGCTGAAGTCAATGGGATTTGTTTGGAAGCAAGCTTTCCTTTGCAAATATAATTCTTATACAGTCACCTACACAGAGACAGCCCTGTCCTCGGGTCAAAGGAAAGCCAAGCCACAGCTAAATAAGCTCCATCAAGGGGACCCAGCAAAGGCGCAGCCCTAGAGATAAACGGATACCGTGGAGTTCCCCACCCCACACACCCCCAGATGCCAGTTGCAGGGGAACGGTAGCTCAGAAGCGGCAGATCATTGCAAAATAACGAAGACAGCGAGAGACACTGAGCGAAGCTGCCTTTCCTTCGTTCTAGGCTTGGAGAAAGCAAAAAGCAAAAAGCAGAAGCGCGGAAGGAAACTTACAGACCGGGGGGGGCATGTTTCCCCAAGAGCTGGTGGCGATGGTGACAGACCGGTCACGTATCTAGCAGGCTGTAGGCCGGGCCCCCCAAGAAAGCTACTCTGGCTGAGGAGGAATCCGATCCCTTCTCTCCTTCCCTTCGCCCTGCTAACCCACTTCCCGAAGGGATTTTGACTGCTGGCCGCTTTCTTCCCTCGCAAAGAATGAGCTTTAAAGGCTGTACTCCGGCCAATGGCCCATGAAAGGGACGGCAGGTTTCTTTCTTGGCTCCTCTTCTCCCCCCACTCCCTTCCTTTCCTTCTCACCCCCGTGACATTGGTTGGGGGGGGGGAGAAAAGGAGGCGCTTTTTTTTTGCTGTTTGGAGAGAAATAAAGCACTTCTGGGGAGGGGGTGGAAGGACGGCGATCTAGCTTTGAACTTGGATCAGCTCCTCTGTTTCCTACCGGGAGGGGAGAAATGGGAAAGTTTGAAAGAAAAGCGGCGTCCAGCCTGCGGGGGACTCCGGCCGGAATTTACGAATTTACCTCCCAAAAGTGTCCTGAACAAGCCGCCGAGGCCGTTAGACAGCGGGGGAGGGATCTGAGAGAAAGGAAAGGAGAGAGAAAGAAACGTGTGGGTGGGTGGATGTGTGAATGAGACTTGAGGCTACATTCAAAAACTGTTTTAGCCATGGATTTTGTGTGTGTGTGTGTGTGTGTGTGTGTGTGAGAGAGAGAGAGAGAGAGAGAGAGATTTCCCCCTTCTGTCGAAAAATATTGTAGGAGCCTTGTCACAGTTCCTTGAATGTGTTCCACTATAAAGCCGATGGGATTTACCTACAGGCGGACGCGCCTTAGACCAGGGCCTAAAGGAACTGCGCGCAAGGCTCCGTGGTGTTTATCTTGCTCCTCCAAGGTCTCTAGATGTCGGAAGGTGCGGGGGGACCTTTTTAGCTCTGCTTCTCTTTGCCAGCGCTCAAACCCTGGAGAGAAATAGGTTGGTGGGTGGGTGTGTTGGGAAGTCAGGCCCAGATAAACGCAGGCTGGTTGGGTCCATAGAAGGGCGGGGGGGGGGAGAGAGAAGCGCCGCACCACCTCCATCCTGCAAGCTGGCAAGGGGCACTGAGGGAACTGGCCGAGGGCTGCGGACAAGAAAGGGATGGAGGCAGTTTGCGATTTGGAGGAAGGAAGAGCCACGCAGCCGTGAGGTGTGCAAGGCTCACGCTCGTCCTGAGAACAGCGAAAAGCGGCTCTTTCAGCGCCTAGATCCACGCCTAAAGCTATACCAGGAAGCTAGAAAGAACAGAGTCCGTTCATGCAGCGTTTTCAATGGACTAAAATGCATCTTCGTGCCAAAATAAAAATGTAATTTAATCAAGGAAGGAAATCATGGATGATGTACTATTTATATGTGCGCATTATGTATGTGCGTGGTACAGCTCTCTGTACCTGTATCTTCTTCCTTCCTTCCTTCCCCCTACAAGGACGCAAAATCGGTTTGAAAATGGGCCTGTGCAGGTGCAAAAGAATACAGCAGAAAGTGTAAAAAGGTTTTGTCTTATGCTAATATGGCCTAAGGGGGGGGAGAATAGAACACACCCCCAACCCAGGAGCAACCCCATTTCCTTTTCTAGTTTCCATTCTCATAAGACCACAGAGATCATTTGTATTCCTAAATGGGAAAAAGAAAGGCCGCCGTTATTTTTCCTAAAAAGACGGGCAAATATTTCTGGATACTGCCCTTTTTATTTCCTCAGCAAATTTGCTTTGGATTGCAGGTTTGGTGGTTTTTTTAAATTTTTAATCTAAACAAGCTCATTCAGGAAACAGATCTGTCCTGGCAGGAGTGTGTAATGTGTATTTTCAGTTAGCAATCTAGTTTGCAAATTTCCGTTCGTGAGGCTTTGCGATGTGATTTGTTACAAACACACACAAACGCAGCGGCAAAAGGTTGCAATCACGGGTTGTTGCTTTTTTCAACACCCCTTCCCCGCTATGCAGCTCGCTCCCATGCCCCCTCCTGACAACCGCCCACTAACCCGCTCTTTTCTTTCACACTACTCCGAGACATCTCTATTTACACCCGTGTCAGCAGCCTCCCAGCGAAGTCCATATCCTGTTGGAATCGATGGGAGGGAAACTCCCGTCGGTTTTTAGCGGATCTGAATGGCACCTTCGCTCGGAATCTTTCACAAAACACACACGCAGATATTCTCCATACCAGATATTCTCATCTGCTGTGGTTTCCCTCTCCTTTGACACCCCCTCGCCCAATCTCTCTCTTAAAAAACAAAACAAAAAAACCCCATGCCTTGCTCGCTCGCTCGCTCTCGCCACCCCAAAGGGTCCTTTTGGTCCGGTTTCCCCGCGAGAAACGCACCCGAGAGGTAAACTGGATCTCGTCGGGAACCGATCCCGCCCCCCTCCCCACCGCGCCCCCCTCCCCCAACCCACCCTCTGGCTGCCCTATGATCGGAGCGCTGCCCCTCTCTCGCCTCTGCCCGGGGCGGGAGCGGAGGGGAGGGGGAGCGGAGGGGAGGCGGGTCGGACCAGGGGACGCGCGAGTGGCTATTAGCCCGCCTTGGGGGGAAGGCTTGGATTGATGGGGCCGGGCCGACCAATGAGACGGCGCCAGGAGATCGGCCTGGCTGCTGTTAAAGGGGGCGGTGGGAGAGGAGCTGCCAGTCCAGCCTAGGAACTAGCGGGAGAGGCTGGGAGGAGGAGGAGGAGGAGGAGAAGGGGGTGGCGAGGAGGGGGGGATAAAAAGCAGCCACAGCAGCGGCGCCCACCGCAACCAGCAGACGAAGGCGAGAGGCGAGCAGAGGGAGAAGCCGGCCAGCGCCCAGGGAGGAGGACCGACCCGCCCCCCCCCAAAAAAAGAGGAGGAGGAGGAGGAGGAAGGACCGCATCTCACGGCTGGAGCATCTCCATGGCGGGCGCTGGCGGCGGTGCCTGAGTGGGACCCGCGCCCGGGTTGAGGGACGGACCTTGGGCGCTCCACTCCCCCCTCCGCCCCTCCGCCTGTGTTATTGTTCTGGGCTGCCTCTCTCTCTCTCTTTTTTTTTCCTTTTACAAATCCGCATCTCTCCCCCTCCCCTCCTCTCCCCCCCCCCTCAATCTCGTCCCCTCCTCCTCCTCCTCCTCCCCAACTTAAAGCGAGCGAGGTTGTGGCGAGGGAAGAGGCGCCCGATTCCTCCCTCTCGTGAGGAGAACAGCGGCGGCGGCGGCGGCAACTTTGGAGCCCGTGAGGCGGAACCGAATGGCGGGCAGAGCGGGAGGCGGAGGAGGTGGCGGCAGCGGAGGAGAAGAAGAAGAAGAACGGGAATAATATATCTATATACACACACACATATGTGTTATATATATATATTAAAAACAACAACAAGGGGTGGTTAGAAGAACGGGAGGGGGGACCCGAACATTTCAGAGGAGGGGCTGGAGAAGGCGGGGAGGGGGGCACCGGGGCGGGGTAGTAGCGCAGCCGAGAACCGTGTGTTTGTTTTCTGAGCGGAGAGTGTGCGTAGCGCGCGAGGGAGAGCCGGCCACTCGCGCGCGCCCCGGCGTGTGCGTGAGCGCGCGCGCGCGAGGGAGTGTGCCTATATATCTCCTCGCCTGTTTGTGAGAGAGAGAGAGAGGCTGTCGGTGTGGCTGTGGCGGTGTGACATCTCTTCGCCAGCGGGCTTGTGTGTGTGGTACTGTTGTTGTTGTTGTGGGTAGCTCTTTCCCCCCCCATTTCTCCCCCCCCCCCTTCTCAGGGAAAGGCGAGTCCCCTCTGCGTCCCTCCCTCTCCCCCCCCCACCGCCCCTCTCCTCTTCCCTCCCTCCTCGGCTCCCTCTCTCTCTCCCTCCCCTCAGCCCGCTCCCCTCTCTGTGCCTTCTTCCCTCAGAGCTGCCCGCCCGCCCTCGCCTCAGCTGCTTTAATACCCTTCGGCTGGCCGCCTGCGCCTGAACTCTCGTCGTCGGCGCGCGGCTCTTTCTCCCGCTCGCGCAGCAGCAGCAGCAGCAGAGGAAGAAGAAGAGGAAGAAGAAGACAGAGAGCCCGTCGCTCGGACCCTCGCCGGGGGCTCCTGGGCGGCATGCTTCTGGATGCGGGGCCGCAGTTCCCGGCGCTGGGCGTGGGCTCCTTCGCCCGGCACCCTCCTCCTCCGTCGGCGGCCGAGATGCAGGAGCGCGAGCTGAGCCTGCAGAACAGCTTCGTGGACTCGGCGGCGGCGGCGGCGGCGGCGCACCTGGGCGCCTTCAAGCTCAACGCGGCGGCGGCTGCGGCGGCGGCGCACGAGCTGTCTCCGGGCCAGGGCTCGGCCTTCAGCTCGCAGGCGCCCGCTTACCCGCACGCGGCCCATGTGGGCTCCTACTCCGCGCCGCCCTTCAACTCCCCCAGGGACTTCTTGTTCCGGAGCCGGGGCTTCGGCGACGCGGCGGCGGCGGCCGGCGGCGGCCAGCACGGGCTCTTCGGGGCCGCGGCGGCGGCGGCGGCGGCCACGGGCAGCCTGCACCACCCGCACGCCGAGGCGCAGAGCCACCTGCTGTTCCCGGGCATCGGCGAGCAGCACGGCGCGCCGGGCTCGCCCAACGTGCTCAACGGGCAGATGCGCCTGGGCTTGCCCGGAGAAGTCTTCGGCCGCTCGGACCAGTACCGCCAGGTGTCCAGCCCGCGCGCGGACCCTTACTCGGCGGCGCAGCTGCACGGCCAGTACGGGCCCATGAACATGAACATGGGCATGAACATGGCGGCGCACCACGCGCACCACCCGCACCATGCCCACCCGCACCATGCCCACCCGCACCACCACCATCACCACCACCACCCGGGGGCCTTCTTCCGCTACATGCGCCAGCAGTGCATCAAGCAGGAGCTCATCTGCAAGTGGATCGACCCCGAGCAGCTGAGCAGCCCCAAGAAGAGCTGCAACAAAACTTTCAGCACCATGCACGAGCTGGTCACTCACGTCTCCGTGGAGCACGTCGGCGGGCCCGAGCAGAGCAATCACATCTGCTTCTGGGAGGAGTGTCCCCGCGAAGGGAAGCCCTTCAAGGCCAAGTACAAGCTGGTCAACCACATCCGCGTGCACACTGGCGAGAAGCCCTTCCCGTGCCCCTTCCCCGGCTGCGGGAAGGTCTTCGCGCGCTCCGAGAACCTCAAGATCCACAAAAGGACGCACACAGGTCAGTCCACGAGGGATTTCACGCTCTTTGCCGGCTCAGAAAGGGTGGTTGGTGGGTGTGAGATTGTGGGGAAGGGAAGGGGGCATTGCGACACAAATGCAAAGCAGGAGAATCCTTTCCCCCTAAACCTCCCCGTGCATGCTCCCGCACACGAATCTGCTTACTCGGAATGGTGTTTAATTTTGTCCAAACCCTTTAAAGGAAGTGATGCTTTATTTGATCGTAAAAAATAAACACGTAAAAAGTAAAATAAAATTGCTTCCAAATGTCTGCCTTCTCTTAAGGCTCCCTGAACTGGGCCGGGCTCCTCGGGATACTTAGGGGAGATGCAGTGGGATCAGATACTTAGGGGAAAGTAAGATACACTGGCATCAGTCAGTTGCCAAGGGAGTCTCTCCTTCAGAGTGGGACGGCTCCCTTCAAAGAAGCAAAAACCGCCCGAGCAGATAACTGGAAATATACGAAGGGATCTTACAGGTTAATCCTGAAGAGAAGCGAGTGTTGTTCCTGTCGGTATGGTCTACTTTTAAGGAAATCTGTAAAGCTGAGCGGCTGACTAGGAAGTCTCTTCCTTTGAAATCCACCGGCTCCATTTCCAAATATATTCAGGTCTGAGGTGCTCCTGCAATGAACGCTGCGTTTCCAGAAAATGGGTAGTTTAAAAAGGCATAGTTGTGCCGTTTTATAAATGTGATGGTAGGAATCTAAAACAGAGCTGAATTTTACATTTTGTATTTTAGACCTATATTCTAGAAAAACTACCCTTAAGAGGGAGGGGGGGAGCTCTTTTCCTTTCTCCGCCCCCCTGGTCATTTCACCGCGCTTTTCAGGGACTGCTTTCCATTAAATTGAAATGGAGTGAGGCGGGACCATAAAATTTTCTCATTTGCAAAAGTGTTTTGAAAGTCTGACTTGGGGCGCTGGAAGGCGGTTTTCCACTAGTTTATTTTTTTGTTAAAGCAACATGTAATAAACAACAGAGTATTTAAGGTTGATAAACTTCCGGGGGTAGGATTCCCCCCCCTCCTAACGCTGCCACCCCAAAATGAGGACTAATGGGTGAGAAAGGAGGCCGCGTTTCTCGGTGATAGAAATCGTGTGAGTCCAGGTAGTGGAATCAAACAACTGCGTTTCCCAGGCTCCTAGATAATTCTACTTCAGCCGGCCAGATTTCTACTGGAGCATTTTTATTTTTATTTTTGGGGTCCGCACCCTACCCCGCCCCGGGGGAAAAAGAAGACCAGCAAATATTTGAGCGATTTCCGGGCATCAGTATTGACTGAGAGAAAGGAGCAAAACTCTGTGAGCCTTTCTGGTTGTGTTGCTAAGAACGGGTTTAGGTGCGAGACGGGCTTTAACAAGGTTTAGCAAATCCGAGACGTTGATTTGCATGGAGATGGCCGCGTTTTGCGGGGGGGGGGGCTCTGAGCGGATGTCTTTAAGGAACAATTTAGGTGCTAATGGAATTTCGCGTTAAATTGCGCGTCTCTCGCACCTCCGATTTCAAGGGCGGGGGAAGGATCCGGCGGTGGCTGTGTTTGAGTTCTCACACCTACAAATTGCTCGGAAATCTGGCGAAGGGGCGAAGAAGCTCTAGGAAAATTCCAAGGGAGGGTTGTGCATGTGTTTTTTGCTTCGGTTTCTCTCGCCCTCTTCGCCCCCCATCATCCCCAGCGGATATTTTGAGAACTGACTTCCAATGTCCTTGCATGAAAGGGGAAAAAAATACTACAGAAGCCTGCTCAGATGTGGAGTCGTTTGCGGCTTGACGCGGTTTAAACAGGGGGGTGGGGGGTTGGTTCTGGTCCGGTGGCTGTTTTTAAATGCACGAACTGGAAAAGGCTCCTTGGCCTGGCTTTTAAATGGAACACCAGTGGGAATGAAAACAAAATAAATACGTATCCCGAAAGAGACACACAAATATCTTTATTGGGTTCCTTGGGGAATCGCGCTTTTAAAAACAATGACCACAGACCCGAGGACTTTCTTGATTTCCCCCGTTTTCCCGTTTAGCTGGGACCCTGGCCCGGTATTTCTTTCCGAAGCTGCGTAATCCCTTGCACAACTCACTCAACTCATTTCCCCCACATCCTAAATTCGACTGAGCCCCTGCGGAATTCTCAGACGAACATTTAAAGATCAGATGCCAATGAAAAGAGGCACATACGAAAAGGAGGTCGCTTTCCTTTAGCTGACCAAAAAAACCCCGAGCATGTTCAAGTTTCTTCCAAGATCTCACAGCCACTAGATGTTTGTTTTATAGTTCTTGGTAAAAGGTCGCTTTTTAGCTGCTAAGTGGGTTGGAACAGAAGCCAGCCGAGCGACTCGTTCGCACGCGCTTACGCCGAATTGGCCTTTCCCCCTTCTGCTCCTTTGCAGGCGAGAAGCCGTTCCAGTGCGAATTCGAAGGCTGCGACCGACGCTTCGCCAACAGCAGCGACCGAAAGAAGCACATGCACGTCCACACTTCGGACAAGCCCTATCTCTGCAAGATGTGCGACAAATCCTACACCCACCCCAGCTCCCTGCGGAAACACATGAAGGTAAGCCGGAGAAGCGCGACAGGGCCTGGGAAGGGGGTGCCGAGGACGGGGCCACACACAGGATGGCGGAGGAGGGTTTCACTGCTCCTGTAGCCCCAGGCTGCGGAGTTATTGGGAAGCAAGTCCCGCTCAAACCGGAGTGGTTTCCCAATAAACCTGCTTCAAACCAAATTCCAAAGAAAATGTTGTGTATAGCCGGAAGAGAGGGACCTTTTGGGCTCCAACCCAGCTTCCTGATCTGTTACTAACTCAGGGGGATTTATGCAACCTTACTAAATGTAGGATTTCAGCACTGGGGAAGGGTCGGCGGCGGTGCTGAGCCTATTGAGCGTCTTGAAGGAAAGGAAACGGGTGGGAGAGATCTGGGAGCCTTTTCTGTGTCCTTTCAAGCAAGTTGCTTAGTTTGCTTTCTCGCTGTTGGCCTGGCAGGTCCACGAATCCTCCCCGCAAGGCTCCGAGTCGTCGCCCGCGGCCAGCTCCGGCTACGAGTCGTCCACTCCGCCGGGCTTGGTGTCCCCCAGCGCAGAGACCCAAAGCACAGCCGCCAGCAACCTGTCCTCTGCAGCGGCCGCCGCGGCTGCTGCTGCCGCCGCCGCCGCTGCGGCCGCAGTCTCGGCGGTGCACCGGAGCAGCAACGGCGGAGCGGGAGGAGGAGGCGGCGGCGGGGGGAGCTCGGGCGGCGGCGGAGGGGGCAGCGGCGGCGGCGGAGGAGCGGGCAGCGGCGGAGCCAGCGCCAGCCACGGCGGCCTCACGTCCAACTTCAACGAGTGGTACGTCTGAAGAGGCCTCCTGGCCCCGCCGCCGCCGCCGCCGCTCCAGCCAGATGCCTCGAAAATGAAGGAAGGAAAGCAGGAAGGAAGGAAGGAAGCCGCCGTCGAAGTCGCTCTCCGCCTTCGCTCTCTCTCTTTCTCCACCCCGCCGCCCCCTTTTGTTTGGACTGGGACATCTTGAAGTAGCAGAAGGGAGAGAAAGAGAGAGAGAAAATAAAATCTTTTGAAAGAAAGAAAGAAAGAAAGAAAGAAAGAAAGAAAGAAAGAAAGAAAGAAAAGGAAGGATTAAAAGCAGCCCAAGCGGTTCTACCCGCCACGGGACACCCGCTGCCTCCTGAGCCTTGCGGACATTCAGTTCTGCCGGCGAGGGGGGACCCCTGCCGCCCCTCCTGCCTCCAGCGCCTTGGGAACAAAAGATCAGACACAAGGAGGGAGGACCCGTCGGTCCTGGGACCAGCCGGCCCCCAACCACCGCCTCCATCCCCCTCGGACTCTCTGTGTACATAGAGGAGTCTTCGCTCCTTCCGCCAAGGAGGTGGTAATCATAAAGTTTTCTCGGTGTATAGAAATTGGTCCACTTTGTGAACTATGGATTTGGTTCTTCCCCCCCGCCCCGCGCTTTCTCTCTCTCTCTCTCTCTCTCTCCCTCTCCCAGAAGTGATGCTCTCTCGCTCGCTCTCTGCCTCCTGTCCTCTCTCTCTTGTTAGCTCCCCCCCACCTTCTCTTTCTCTTTCCTTCTCTCTTTTTTAAATTCACCCATTTTTAAAGGGAAAGGGGGGGGAGTAAAGTGGAAGCAAAATGGTTTCTTTTGTAATTGTGGTATTGAATATTGTGTTCCTTTTTTTAAAAAAAGAGGCAACTTTGATTGTAAACTTCATTCAGCTATAGACTGGAAAGATTTTAAAACAAACAAACAAAAAAACACACGTGCCAAAGTCTCCATGCCGTTCTTCGAAACAAACCCAGATTGATTCCTCCTCCTCTTCCAATGCTTGTGAATGTATTTTCTGTTAGCTGGATTTACATGTGATGTTTTAGTGCATTTTGCAAGTTCTATTTGTTAGTTCCTGTTTGGAAGTTTGTGGGGAGGGGGAAATAAACGTAGTGCCGTTAGGGATTTTTTTCCGTAATAACACCCTTCCTTGTGTAAATAGCTGTTGCCATATTTATCCATTTGTAATTAAATTATGGTATTAACTTGCTACAGAGGAAACAGTATTTATAAAGAATGTTTCTTAACTATAAATATGTACAATTGTGAGCATAAACTGTTTCAGAATTTTTTTATTTGAAGGTCCATGTGGTTTCATCATTTCTTGTGATATGTTTTTTTTTTTTTGAGAGTAATGCATACAGAAATATAATAAAATGTGTTGAAACTGCAGTGACTGACATTCCCCTCCCTCTTTCTTTCCTTTCCTTTCTTTCTTGGTATGTCAAAGGTTTTCTTATGTTGATTAGAGTGTGCCTTAAGAAAGGCCAAATTCGCTATACGCTGCAAAATGTTTTAGATATGTGATTAAAATCACATGAGGGCACAACTTATACAAAAACTAAGTTTTATTAGTTTAACTAAGTATTTAAAACAAATCTACATCCTATCTTAATATACTGGGTTTGCAAAGCCAATATCATACCAAGAATGATGCTCCTAGGCTGCACTCCTGTGCATTTTTACCTTGGAGTAAATTTAATTGAAGACATTACTGGGTAAATATGTGTGGAATTTAACTACACAGGGCTTTGCAACTCTAGGGCTGGATCTTGTCAAAGATTAGTAGTTTTAAGGGCCATTTCAGTGGAAGAATTAAGCATGTGTTTCACCTTTTCCCCTGTGAAAATCAAAAGTCTTCCAAGTTCTGCCAGTCTCCTATATTTCAAGTCAATTTTATACCCTTATAGACTGTCAAAACCTTTATTGCTTGTAGTTTGCCCTTATCTTCTTTTTTACTTTTATGAAAGGTCCCATTTTTAATCTGGATTTTTTTGGTACTTATGTTAAGTTTATTTTTTAAGCACTGTTCACATGCTTTACAATTTATTTGTTTTTAAATCTAGGAGTAGATCCCAAATCCTTCTCCATAAAATCTGAATTCCTTAAAAGTTGGAAACACTTCTTCCCTTGTTTAGAATAGTTCTTATGCTTTTTATTTTGCACATTTATCTGTACTAATATATATTTTCCCCCCTCCACCAAAGATGAGGAAAAAAGAGGTGAATCAGATAGGCTTTAAAAAAGCAGTATTCCCCCCCCCCTTTTCTTTGAAGTGCTGGGGAACAGTACAACCATGACTTTGGTGTGACAGTATGTGTTAAAGATGCAATGCTTAAGAAAACAAAAATTTTAGGGGCTGTGTAATTTGCTGGATATGGCTTTAACAAAATTATTCTCCCCACCCCAAATTTACCAGTGTGCGTGTGTGTTTGTTTGTGTATGTGTGTATAATTTAAAATAATATTCTACGTGAGTAAATAGGTATATAATTAAGAATGATGACCTAAATTAACTTTTGCTTGTCTGCAAGATTGTAGATTCTCCTCCATCCTCTTGACTTCAACCCAGAATCAGTGCTTTGGACATGCTTTGATTTTATGAGCCACTTTCTAGTAACCAGGACGTGGAATTGAACTGTGAAGCCTTCAAAAAAACCTTCGAAAGCCTGGCATTTGCCCAAAATCCAGTGCCAGCCACCTGGGCACCCAAAAGAGGCACGCATCCTTCCCCCCTTTTTCCAAGCCCCGTGCAAGTGTGCTCCTGGCACTCCTCTCACAAAACTCCGCAGCGCCAGCCAAAAACCGCTCAAACGATACATTTGCCTCTCCAGCCCAGTCGCTTGTTTTCATTGCATTCCATCCAAACCCCCCACCCTGTTTGGAATTTATGTTAGCAACACTATCCCTCTTTGGCAGGGATAGTCGTAGGCCCACCTCCTCGAGAGCAAGTCCCGCTAAGCACAGTAGGACCTATTTCCGAGTAAAATTTCATTTTTGGGGCAAGCTTTTCGCCTGATGTTTGGTGCGGGGGGAACAGGGACGATAGATTCGCGCTTGGTCCTGGAAGAGGATGCCCTTGAGGGAGCAATTTTTTAAAAAAAAAAATTTTTTTTTGCTGCGGTCCAAAAAACACAACCTGGCACGCTTCCTTTTCTCCCCAACTTGGAGCGGTCTCTTCCTTCGTAGTCATTCATTCATTCAGTCATTCTCTGCTGCATAATGTAAAAGCCCCGAAGTAATCAAATGGCTGTTAAAATCTCATTTTCCTCCCTTAATAATATTAGGCCAGAGAGAGAGAGAGAGAGAGAGAGAGAAACCCAGCCCAATTTTATTAAAGGAATTAGCATATGGCGCTGATCCCTGGGAGAGAGAGATCTCGCTGGCTGGGAAACTACAGCAGGGCACGGTCGGAAGAATGGCAAGAGAGGCCCCAAAGAGCGCTGGATTGAAATTGGCTGCGTGTGTGTGTGTGTGTGTGTGTGTGTGTGAGAGAGAGAGAGAGAGAGAGAGAGAGAGAGAGGAATCCGTTGTTCAGCGCCCGCTCCCTCCCGCCATTCAATGGCCTCCACCAGATTAAGTCTGATTTAAAGTTGAACGCAGGGGAAAGACTGGGAACGTCTCTGCTCCCTCCTTTTCTGTTTCTGACCACGGCTTTGTTCCTGGTTTTTTGTGTCTCCCAGAACCTGGAGAAAGGGGGACTCCTGGATCCCCGGCTGAAGGGTCAGCAAGAAAGATCCCTTCGATCCCTCCGGAAGAGGCTCGGGCCAGAGACGGCGGTGCTCCTGGCCTTAGGCTTGTGGGTTCCTCGGCTCTCCTTTCCCCAGAGGAAGCAAGCGCCGTCCGTCCGAGTCGCCTTCCATCACGGCCAACCCACATCAACAAATGACACGCCGCAGTTCTGTGGTCCTCGCCCGTTCCCCAGCCTCCCCGATGTCCCTCGGGTCCCACCGCGGCACCCACCCACACCTGCAGGCAATGCTGGGTTGAGAAAACAGAAGCCTCCGGCGCGCCCGGGCACTGCGCTCTCCACCAAGTGGTCCGGGTCCCTGCCTGTCATCAGCAGCCTTCTCTTCCTTTCAGGCCCCTGGGCAGGGCAGGGAGAGGGACTGTTCTCTCCCCACCCTCACCCCTTCCCCCTAGGCTAGCCTTGAACTTGAACTTGAGCTGGCCTTGGCTGCCACCATCGCCCTAGTCTTGCCAGCCAGCACCCACAAAGACGCGGTATCTTGGACGGGGAGGGAACCCAGGCAGCTTTAGAAACGGATGGCGAGGCGAAATAGAAACCTGCCCAGGAGATGGAGGTTTACAGATACAGATACATGGCGGACGCCCGTATGAATCACGCAAAAGTGAGCTACAATACTCATCTCTCCTGTATAATGCATGAGAGCACATACGTCTAAGATGTATGTAACAGAACGCACTATAAATAATACAAGGCAGCTGCGTAAAAACGCCGGTGGAGGGAGAGAGGCAACCCCCCCTCCACCGTGTCCGGCTGGAAGCCCCGAAAGTTGCCCATCCCTTCAGACTCCTGCGAAATGGTCTCCTTGGATTCAACGAGACTTACTTTCGAGTATACATCGGTAGAGATCAGGGCTAAGTCCTTACAAAAATTGCAGACCCGGAGTCGTCAAACGGATATGCATATCCAGAAATGACTAGAAAACTAGAATACACTATTATTATTATTATTATTATTATTATTATTATTATTATTATTATTACATTTCCCCCTTTTCCCCTTCTGTTCCAGCTCTCCCCAATCGCCCAGGTTTGAGTCTGTCTTTCAGCTTTGATTCTGCCAAGATTTCCCCCGCCTTTGGTTTCGTTTATGTTTCCTAATTATGATTTGTGATGATTGCAACAACATTTAACTAGACTAGCAGCCGCCGTGGTTCTGTTACCGAGCAGTGCTACAACTAGTACGATGTGCTCTTGCGTGCTAGGAGTAAATATGCGGCAGTATCAAAATATGTAAGTTGTAAGTATGCAATACCAACTTAAGTAGTTGAA